ACTTGTCTTTGATAACAGTGATTTCATCTACTATTGCTCCAAGGTCACCAAATCCATTAAACTCCTCCTGACATACAGAAGGGGCTTACAAAGAATTTCTCCTATAATTTTTCTCTGGTTTCCTGCTCCTCTCAACAGAAATTCTTCTTCTAATAGCTTTTTAAGAATATCAACACTTGCAGAGGGTGTTCTAGAAAGTACACTTGGAAACATGTACCTAGTAAGAACGAAACACACCAGACTTTTGAATATCTGAAATTACTAAGAAAAAGGTCTATAAATATCCAAATACATAGTTTGTTGCTCATAACACAAGTTCACAAGCTATAAATAGTAAAGATTATTCTCTATAAATGTAGTACAGCTGTTATTTGAATTTTGAAAGGCGGAGACTGCAACAATTGGGCATTCTAAAACCAATTTACTTTTTCCATCAACTCTCCTTCTAATTCAAATCAAGACAATTTATTCAATTCCATCACCTTCATTTTGAACATGTGTAATGTGAGATTTTCAATTATTTCCTGATGTATGATTTACTTAACTTTCACTTACTCCACTTAATCCATTGTTCAATATTTTTATTCATCCAGTCACTAAAATGATATTCAGCTACCTCTGAAAAATCCAATTACAATATCATGTGTGCAATGCATCATTTATTTCTAAGTATATAATTATTGTATTGGTAACCCTCATACAGCTCACTATTGAAGGAGCTACATATACCTTACCATTCACTCAATGTTCATTGTATGCCTTTGAGCTCGGTTTACAAGGACCCAAGACTGGCAAGATGCCTGAGGCTTTGTTAGAGCTTCCAGAGACCACCTCATTTGTTTTTATAAGGCCTGGATGGAAAACTCATCGGTACTCCTAGGAAACTGTGTATTTTATGTACATTTTCAAACTCCTTTTGATTAATCACACTACATGGTGTTCGAGGGCTGCAATACAAAAAAGTTCTATAAAATATTCAGTTGCCACCAAAAATAAAACTCTCAGATTACCAGATGTTTCTCTGTGTGAACACGTAAGAGTCCAGAACTGGAAAGCAGGAGAGGAAAGAATGCATTCTTAGGAAAATAAACAGGGGGGGAAACAGGCGGCCAGCGTCAGCAGCCCCAAGACCCAGGGCAGCCTCCACACCTCCTGCATCAAGCTGGGGGGACTGTCTTGCAGCAGGAGAGATCAATTTCAATTCTTATAATTAAACCTCCATGTTGATCTAAAAGCAAACAGAAGTCAGAGGCATCTGCAGCAGATTTCCTCGTGCCATCACGAGCTCCCGGTCTCCACCCAGCCAGGAGCACTCCCGGGAGGCGAGGGCTGAAGCCTGTTTGAATGGCAGCTGGGATCCCTCTAGCAGTGGGCAAACCTCAGGACATAAGAGTCACCAACATGGTGGAATCTAAAGCAAAGGGCATGAGTTGATGGGAAAATTTCTGTCCAGATATTAAAAAAAAAGAAAACTTGCTTCAGAGTGGGGAGCCAGGAGAAGCAATCCTGGAACCATTAATGGATTGGCCTGCGGACAGGACGTTGGCTGGATGAACTCAACAAATGAATTAGGACTAAAAATAACAGCCCTAAACTTCCAGATGCCATTGCTGAGCAGCCAAATTCTCTCCACCGACAACTTCTTTCCTTCTTTATTCTAAATATGCATTTATGAATGGGAATCCGGTGAGCCAAAAAAGAAGTGACTGTTTCAGAGTCATGACCTTGGAGCCTGCTCCCTGAAGGACAGAGTCCTACATCAGTCACAGCCATCAGGTGGCTACCGGCGGGCCCCTCCCTTTCCCCAGGAACACCTCAGAACTTCATCTCTTAAAATGGAGGTGAGACTTTTTTTAAGTTGAACAAACTTGGCAACGTGCTCTACTGCTGAGCTCACCCCGGGCCTGAAAAGTACTTTTATGGATCAGTACTCAGAAATGTACCTCCGGGACATCGAGGAAAAGTGACGGATTGGGATGTATACCTTGTGCAGTGTGTGAGGGGGCAAAAGTGAACCGGAGCCGGGAGGAAGGCCTCGCATTTCACGTCACAGAGGAGCGCCATCGGCGTCCAGGCTGAGCATCCCCCAGCCAAAACCTAGAGTCTGAATGAAAAGCTTCAAATTCCAAAGACCTTTTTTTTTTTTTTTTTTAAGTGCTAGGGATCAAATCCAGAACCCTATGCATGCAAAGCACACTCTCCAACACTGGGCCACAGCCCCAGCCCCAATCCCAAACTTTCTGAGTGCCAACATGTCACCAGGTGCAGAGAACCCCACACCCGACCACATCATAATGGAGTCATAGTCAAAGGGTGCACTAAAAACATTGCACAAAATCCTCTTCAGGTGTCTCATGATACATATGCAAATATCCCCCAAATTTGAAAAAACTCAGTATCCAAAACACCTCTCATCCCAAACATTTCAGATAAGAGTTACTCAAACTGAATAGTGTTTTTTCCAACTTTTAAAATATTTTTGAATTTGAGCTGGGGCTGGGGCTCAGTGATAGTGCACTTTCCTGGCATGTGTGAGGCACTGGGTTTGATTCTTAACACCACATATAAGTAAATAAAGGTCTGTCAACAACTAAAGAAATTAAAAATTAAATTAAAAAATAATGTATATTTTTTTTAAAAATTTAGGATTTGGATTCACCTAACAATCAAGACTTAATGGTTCAATTGGCAATAGTTTCTCTCTCTTTTGGGGCATCTACATACTGACGAATACAGGATGGGATTTTTAGACTCAGTAAAAATATGGTAACACTTTAGGAAACGAGTTCAAAATAACCACAAAGGTCAAGCTTTTCCTACAAATGCTGAGACACAGGAAAGAAGTAGAAAGTCACAACAGAGATCACACAAAATAAGAGCAAAGAGAAGATGGATGAAGAGATGGGCACTGCCTTCCAGGAAGGGGCAGGAGCCAGGACTCACTTGGGAGGGTAGGGCACTGCCCTCAGGATCAGCTGAGAGCGAGGGGCACCCGGACCCCTGCCTGAGTCTGCATCTGTCCCACCCACATGGAGGCCAGGGGTCCATTCATTCTGCTCCCGGTTTCCACATGCTGGAAGTTATCGTGGCCAATCTGCACCTTTCTTTCCATGGGAATCCTCCTCCTGCTTGACTCAGGGTGACTTCTTCTATTAGTTCTGGCTTATTAGTGACAATGTGATGGACAGAATCCTGTGAGCAGCCAGCCCCACGTTTCTTACAGGGATGTGTTTATTCAATGATGTAGAACCCAGACCTGTCGGGCCTCTCTCCTCCTTCACCGTGAGCTTCAAGTACATGAAGTCGGTTTTCTCTTCCGTATTGTACAAAGACATGACCAGGGGGCCTAGACGTCAAAGGGTTTTGCTCCCCTTGAAATGTTGGGACCAAGAGAAACGGGGTGGACGACCAAGGGTTCCAACATGAGAAAAGTACCCCGACGACGGCAAGAGTCCAAAAGAAGTATTTGGGGGAAAGAAACTTTCCACCTCTTAGTGATGATAGGGGGGTTACCCAAGCGACTACGAAATCTCAAGAAAGGGCATCTTAAAGTGGGTTCATCTCATCTTAAGTAAACTCACCTCAATAAAGATGATCTGAAAGTCCATTATCCCGGCAGTGGTAACTGTTTGGTTTAGGTCAAGTCTAAGTCTAAGTCTCTTCACTCTCCCTTAGCTCCCCTGGTTGTAAGCCTCCCCATTCATCCTCAGAAGACATTCTTGGAAATGGTACACGAGAGGCAAATGATACTCAAATCAGGCCGATCTACTTTTGACAAGCTGTGGTCACTTCCCAGCCTGAAAGGACGTTTTAATAAATCTTGTTTGTGGTTCTTGAAAGTTGACATTGTTGGCTGGGTAATTTAGCTCAGTGGTAGAGCACCTGCCCAATACCTGTGAGGCCCTGAAATGTCGAAAAAGCAAAGATGAAAAAAAAAAAGCACCAAACCCAGTCACTGGATAAAGTACCAGGAAGTCAAGTTTATAAAAAGCCACAGAAAACATCAGAGTCACAATGAAGAAGGAAATACAGGTGGAACTTTTTTTTTTTTTTTTAATACACGTAAAAGTAGACAAAACAGAGACTACCTTCGTAAATTTTTCATGTGCTCGGGTGACACTGTAGAGCTTCATAGTTGGCTTGATTTCAGCATAGATTAATGTTTTTAGAGACCTGAAAGGTAGCTGGGTGTGGTGGCACACGCCTGTAATTCCAGCGACTCAGGAGGCTAAGGCAGGAGGATCACAAGGTCAAAGCCAGTTTCACCAATTTAGTGAGGCCCTCAGCAACCTAGTGAGATTCTGTCTCCAATAAAAACAAAAAGGCTTAGTGGTTAAGTGGCCCTGGGTTCAATCCCTGGGGGGTGGGGGGAGGAGAGGAGAAGAGAAGAAGAGAAGAGAAGAAAAGAGAAGAGAAGAGAAGAGAAGAGAAGAGAAGAGAAGAGAGAAGGAGAAAGAAAGAAAGAAGGAAGGAAGGAAGGAAGGAAGGAAAGAAAGAA